GAATAGAGAACAACTAGAGAACACGATTGTAACAAAGTCACTGGGAGGATTGTAAGAGTTCAATAAGGAAACACACCAGTACGATAAGCGCATTAACATCCCGATGGTTGACCCGATGTTTATATGTCTACTACAGGTGCTAAGGATTTTACCTAGTCATTACAGAGTTAAGGACATTTCTGTGATATTATGCATTTTTAGTGTTTCTCCGGAGAGTATAAGTAATTTGCGGCGCTGTGCGGTGGTGGGTGATTCGTACAAAAATACTTTGCACACTTTAAACTAATAGCAAGACAAATTTCGGCTGCGTCCGATTGCGTCCATTTCGTCAATTTTCCATAGACTGAAGGCTTCAATACCGGCAGATCCCTACAAAACTAGTAGGAAAGGTAGTAAACGTATCTCGACTTTGCTAAAATTTGCTATTTGAACCACTTTCACTAATGGAAAGAAAAAGTATGAAACCTGATAAAAATTGGGGAACTGCCACGCCCACTAAAATAGGGGGCGGACATGGTAAATGTTATCCAATTCCAATGAAATTCGGTTTGCAACTTGGATTAAGCTAGGAAGACATACATACATTTGAAATATAGGGGAAATCGGACAACTGCCACGCCCACTAGCTATTCGAAATTTGTATTGTAATGGGGCACGGACTAGTAACGAACCTCCAAAATAGCAAAAATATGGTGCAATATCTACTTTTGCATAAAAGCCGAGAAATATAAAAAAAAAAAAATGTGAATTGGCGACGGCCTCCGTGCCCCACACTTGTGGGCGGGAATGGGAAATACTAGTATGGATGGAGGGGGGCGTGGTTGGTGCCAATCCACACAATTTTCTATATATCTCGGGGCTTTAATGCAAAAATAGATCTTGCACAAAGTTTCACTATTTTGGAGGTTCGTTACTACTCCTTGCCACATTAGAATTCAGAAGTCGGATTGCTGATAGTCGTGGCAATTGACCGATTTTTCCAATCTTTTAGATTTATGCCTACCTGCCTAAGTTACAAATCGAATTTCATTGAAATCGGATAAAATTTACCATATCCGCCCCTTAGTGTAGTGGGCGTGGCAGTCCGCTAAATTCAACCATTTTCATATTTATTCGTTACTGGGCAAAAGTACTCCACGTTATAATTTTCAGAAAAATCGGAGCACACTTACTACTCTTTGTTACATTTTATATGGAGCTCTTCCATTGTGCATCGTCTTTCCAGTAAGCTATAAAATCTCTAAACAGAGGAGTTCTGAGTATTCCTGATCATTTCATAGTTCTAATCTTTTCTTGTTCATTTTTAGTTTTCTACACTAACTACAGCCAGACCTTGTATGCGGTGTTTTATTCTAAATATTTACACATAACATATTTTAGTCTGAATCTTTCTAAGCTCAGTTAGAAAAACAATCCTAAAGATCCTCTGCGGGTACCTTATACTCTTACCAGATAATATTTTCTTGCACAAAAACTTATTTAAAAGTGGATATATGTAGTATGTTTCTCTCACTAACCTGTGCAATCAGATCCTCATCATAGTCTGTATTATAGATCAACGATTGTTGATTATTGTTGTAAGTAGGCTTCTCTTGTGGCTTATAAGTCTCTCGTGGTGCTGGTGTTGTCAATATTTCCAAGGGTCGATAGGTCGATTGTTGAACAGGTTGTTGACGTACAGACTGTTGTTGTTGTTGTGGTGGTGGCGGCTGATATTGTTGCTGCGGTGGTGGCTGATATTGTTGCTGCGGTGGTGGCTGTTGTTGCTGCTGCTGCTGCTGCTGCTGCTGATATTCTATATCCCTATACAAATCAAGATCATCATCATAAACTGAGTAATATTGTTCATAGGAGCTTTGCTCCTGGTTGGATTGTTGCGGTGCTTGTTGCTGTTGCTGCTGATGTTGTTGGTGTTGCTGCTGTTGTTGTTGCGCATGTTGATTATGCAACCCAACTAATTGTTGTTGCTCATCAGCCTGTTGCTGAGTCTCATGCAATTGATGATGGTGTTGTTGTTGGTGGTGTATGTTTGCTTGTGACTCATAGCCCGCATGATTTAATAATGCCGTTGTGTTATAGTAATTACGATTGGGATTTTGTATGGATGTTGATGGTATCGCCTCCACAATCACGCCAGTCGGTGGACGTTGTTGTTGTTGTTGTTGCTGTGCATAATGACTGGGCGCCAATTGCGATTGAGGTGATGATGGCGAGGATGATTCGGGTCTGCGTTGTGATGTGTGTGATGCATTGTTTGTTTGGTATTTTGTAGTTTTTTTGTTTGTACACCGTGAAATTTTTTAATTTTTTTTTTTGTGGATTGATGAATTAGCGGTTAATTATTTTAAATATTTACAAGTATATAACAATTGTTTAGTAATAATTGAGTTTTTTTTTTGTTTTGTGTAAGTAAACAAATGAGGATGCAAAATTTCGATTTTTGTTTCGAATAAAAATACGAGTATGTATGTATATATTTACAAAAGAGAATATGAAAACGAAAAAAATATACATATATATTATTTTAGGATTAGCTTTAAAATAACGACTTAGAACAAATGGAGAGCTGCACAGCAGGGTTAATTGTGGTGATTGGTGTGTGAAATTGTGTGAAAGAGATGCATATATATACATATATATAATATGGTATATATTTATAAGAGAAACATGCATATAGATGGCAGTAAGATTTACAGTAAAGAGAAAGAGAGGATGAGTGCAGGCAGGAGTCAAGTGAAGAAGGAGTCGGTACGGAATTTCGCGTACAGGGTCCATATTTAGTCATTTCTTGCAAAGTTTCAATTATTCCTGATATCCTTTTTGTTTTGATTTTTGTCCGTGTAAGGTTATATGAACTATTGCATGTACAATTTGTATTAGTGACATTTAAGGTAGTATTTTACAGTAACCTGGAATAAGGTAAATCGTTTTTTGTTGAGCGACACCGTACGTTGCACCGTAAGTACTTAAGTATGTATGCAAGTAAGTAGGTATAAGTACTAAGTATAAACAGTTATTTACAAATTTACATTCAGTAGAGTGTTGTTCGCTGTTGGTGTGCTTAAGTCTGCTTTGAACGTGGCCTAAGACTGATGGAGTGAAGAGAGAAATATTTACGGAGAGTCATATAAAGCGAAAGAGGGAGATGTCATAGGGCCATATACGGAGCGTTAAACGTAGCGTAAAGCGGTTCGTTAAAGCCACCATGAAAACTACTGTTAAAACTTCAATTTCGAAAAAAAAAATTTGTTGGTTGTAATTTTTTTTAATACTAATAGAACATAAAAAAGCGAAATTGAAAATGTTGCATAAAACTTTTAAAACAATTAGCAGATTTATTCAGAACAATAAACCTAATGGGATTTACGGAAATTTTTTCATCTAGATCGCTTTTTCGGAGATGTAGTCTTTTCGACCTGATAATAATTTCTTGAAAATTATAACATGAGCAACCCCAAAATTTGAAGGGTCCATTATGCAAGTGACTATCTCACAGGCGCCATGGAAGTAGACTGCCTTCTGATTGGAAACTATAAAGTTGGACTGTAGATCTACAAACCCGAAATTAGAAGATCAAAAAGGGACTCATGGAAAACCTTTTGCCAGTGAAGAGTTCATCAGGCTTTTCCTCGTAATTTTTTTTGTAATCTATCCCCAGTAGATGCCTTCGTCGGTGCAAGGTTACGACCTGCACAATAAACTAATTGAAACCCTTTTGGCCTCCTGCACAGCTAGTGGCTGGCTTCTATGTACGCAAATTGTTAAAGCAGTGGATACCTACCAAGGGCATGGAGGGTCGTAAGAGTGGCATTTATTCCGAAGGCCAGTAAGAGTCCTAAGGCATCGCTTAAGGACTTCAAGCATTGTTCCGCCTTTGTATTTGCTAAAAAAGGGGGGGTGAAATAACACAAACGGCAATAACGCAAATTTGTGTTATTTCCCAATTGAATGTGAAATAACACAAATTTGCTTTATTTCATTTCTCGTTGAGCAATAAGACCAACTTTTAAACTTAACAATTTGAGTAATAAAGCAAACTAGTGCACATATGTACGTAGTCACCCAGTTACATTTGACAAAAAGTAGTACATGAACAAGTTAAATGGACGGATTTGTAAGTATACAATTTTGAAAGTGCCCGGCGTCGCGGCGGTCCGCGTTCGCGCGCCGCCACGCGCCACCCCGCGCCGCGTTCGACGTCGCGCTCGCGTCCCCCGCCCCTCCCCTCCTTTCGCAATTATGTACTACGGTGGCATTATAACCGTTTAGAAAAAGGAAAAATGATAAAATAACACTAGTTCACTTCTGAAACTGCTTTTTAATGTCCAAGTAATGGGAATTATTGTGTATGGTGTTATTGCATGCTGCATCCCACCCATAGTGGAATTTACCAGGTGCCACTGCTTTATTTGAAAATTTGCCTATAAAATGTGACTATAAGGCAGCCGAATGTCAGAAAATAAAGCGATAAAGTCGTTTTATTACTTCATCTGTTTATTGCGACATGGTTCCAAGCAAACATTTCAAGGTTTTCCAGCAATGTTTTTAACATATATTAAAGAGCATGCAGAAAAAATTCATACAAAAGCGCTATGTCCAATATGCGGAGCAGTTTTTAAAGACGATGCTTTTCCTATATTTTGTTAGTAGTTTTCATAAGTAAAAATATTTTGTGAATATTACTTTCTTCATATGAATCACATTTTTTGTTTAATTCAAGGCCTATCAAACAGGTTTAGAGCATTTGAGCAAAAACAACATTTGCCTGTATTTTGTTGTTGCTTCTGGTATCGAAGGTGCCAAAAACTGTTCTGATTTTTTCTTCTACATCAAAGCGTGCCATGCGAAATACGAAAAAGGTAAAAAATTTAAATTGAAAAAATAAAAATTGTTGCAACTTTCTTTCTTAGTAAATTGGTTCGCTTCTCGAAGCATTGATCCACCATCCTGTGCCAGGCCCAGTAATCAGCGGTTGTGCTGCTGAGTTGGGCGAGCTTTCCAAAAGCTGCTATTTAATCGCTGGTTTTGTATGGATAATGTTTCACATGCAAATAGATTTTAACAATTTAGAATTTTTGTGAGGAGAAATGTAAAATATTTGATATTTTCGAGAACAAATAATTTGAAAAAAATCAAATCAGCTGCTATACTGATATTACCTGTTCAATGTGCCTTGGTTTAATTGTATTTTTGGAATAAACAAAGTTCTTTTTCCTTCTATCAGTAAACTGTTTTTTTTACAAATAGTATAAATAAGCAATGGGAAATAACGCAAAATTTGTTTTATTTCCAACCTTTGTTGGAAATAAAGCAAAACTCAGATTTTGGTTTTATTTCCAATTTAAAAGTGAAATAGAGCAAATTTTGCGTTATTGCCGTTTGTGTTACTTCACCCCCCCGCTAAAAAATGCTAGAGAGACTAATTAACCTTTGTATAAAAAACGGGATTAATCGTGACCGTTTTTTTAAAGCTCACTATAGAAAATGGATAGGCTCCCTATCACTCACTCACTCACTCACGAGCGGGCTTTAAAGAGGAAAACAGAAATGAAAGAATTAGAATTATAGTGCTGAGCTAGAGTCAGGCGGCACTCAGGGCTCTTCTACCCTATGAAATCAAATCCTCGTTGGTCCTTGAGTGCATTGAGAAGCTAAACTCCCTTGACAGACGAAATAACATCAGGTTAGTGTGAGTACACGGCCATAGATTAATAGAGGCCAGAGCTCTTCCTGGGAGAAGGTAATAATACTATAAAAGAGGCGCCTATGAGGGGATATAAACTGGCGCAGTTCACGAGGAATGCGCCAGGCAAAGAGTTTACTTGGAGGGTTTATGAAGAAGAGATTCCAAAGCTTAATTAACCTCCCAAAGGAGAGGCTTAGAGTTCTAGCAGGTATCCTTACAGGACACTGCAGACTAAGGAATCTCACCTACATAAGTTGGGCATATGGTTTAATGGTCTTTGCAGGTTCTGTGACTTGACCAGCGAGACACCGCTACATATTCTCACCGAGTGTGATGTAGTCTGCAGAAGACGTGAGAGGAGTCTAGGCTCGATATGGCCACAGCTTGACCACATCCACTTCCTACCCACGAAGGTGCTATTGAACTTTCTGAGGGATCTGTGCCTAGAAGAACTGCTGTGAAGAGAAGAGGGCATAATAGATCGCCAGGTCGCAGTGAACGACTCATTTTAATGTCTACCTATCTATCTAAAGCAGCGGCGACCAAAGCCTTTGCACGAGTGCATAAGCTTTTTCGAGATTTCTCATTGACAGCCTCACACCGACAGTAAAAAGGCTGAGCCAGCAGGTTGTGCGCTGCTGGAGCAGTCGCTGAACTAGATGAGCTTTTGTGCTTTCAACACATACTCAAAATGTGATTGTGTAAGTGTGGTCGGCACTCATCTAAATAGAACGTTGAATCCCGTAATAACCTGTGGGTTGGAACAACTCTCATAGAGCTCATTTATAGCTTGAACTGCGTCACCGCAAACCCAAGCAAGATGGAGGTGGCCTTATTCAGTAGGAAGTATAAGATCACCGATGGGGAATTTTCATCAATTCCAGGTGTTCATCGGCAGCCTTCTGAGAGGGTCAAGCACTTAAGCCGGTTCTTGGAATAGAAACTGTTTTGGGAGGTTAACAATGAAGAAAGGATAAGGAATCACTTTATATTGCCGCAGGGGGCTGTTGGAAGGATATAGGGCTATCGCTCAAAGTAACTAAGCTAAACTAGAGCCTTACGCAGGCAAAGCTACCTTGTTTGGTAACATACTCGAAGACCAGGTGCTTTGGAGTTTTGGAAAGTTTCGATTTTATCCCTTATTACAGGATTACTGCACCTCTAGTAGCATTTTCTCTAGCCACATTTTCTCAATGGATGATTGAGTAAGACGGGTTGACTGGAGCAAAGTAGCACTGAATTTCTCTACGGATGGGTTGAAACTTGAGCTTAGAGGCTTCAACCTGGTCTCGCCACCAACATTTTGTTCCGGACTTCGAACTGTAGTAACAGATCAGTAAAAGTTTTAACTATTAGTCAAAGCTTTAGGGCGGGATTGGTGGAGGGGTCCTCTCTCAGGAGCTCTTCATCAATACAAAGTTCAGGCTTCCAAAAGTTTTCGTGGTATCGAAAAGGCCTCAATGCCCAAGCGAGTTCCTAATTTAGGAAAACCACCGAAACCTACCTAACCTTAAAACAGAGTTTAAATGGAATAATTAAAAAAAAGGGCACTTAGGAGACAAAATCGGCCATAGGGTTGTTGAGTTATTTAACCTTTTTCACTAGAGAAGTCTCCTTGAACATTTTTGTCGTTTTCGAAACATTAAACAAATTTGTTGGCAATCCGATGTCACATCAACTGACGAATAGATTGGCGAGTCACAGCAAGGTCTTTTAATTTTTGTGATCACCGCACCGTGTAGGGCCCCTATATGTATCTCTCTCTGATGCTCTCTTTCGCTCTTTCGCTCTTGACTCACATACTCAATATTTTCCAATCGACGGCAACCACTGTCACATCAGCGATTTAGTTTGTCAACCTACCTAGCGTTGCTGTGGCTTCACATTACACAACAACAAATTCGCGCACGCAACAAGCGCACACTTCTCAACCGCAGCAAAATTTTCATATCTAGTATGTAATAAACCTTTTGTTCTACACATGCTACATATAAATGTAGCTAGCTACCTTTGTCCACTGTCCGCCACGTCCAAGTGCATATTCACGTTCAATTGCACCGAACCCAAAGCCGATGACGCTGGTGTGGCTGCGGGCCGCTTACGAAAACTTTGCGCTCCAAAATCGGTCTTGTTGCCTTTGCTGTTACTGTTGTAATTACTACCATGCTCAACGTTGTTCAACTCCTTGTTGCTACTGTCGCTGGTTTGCCATTTACTATGACCACGTTGACGAATTGACGGCCGCACTGTGTAGCGCGTGCGTTGTGTCGTCGTTGTCGTCATGGTGGTTGTTGTGCTTGGTGCTCTTGTTGTAGTGGTACGCGGCGCGGGTGTCGTTGTCGTCCTTGTGATCGTAAACCGTACATTATTGTTAATATTGTTCGTCAAAGTCGGTACAGTCGAACCTAATTGCGGCCTTGGCGGAAGACGTTGTTTGATATCTTGAAATATATCGCTGGGAAAGTTGATGAACGAAGGTATTTGATTGTGCTGCTTAGTACCCTGCGTGCTCGCTGTTGTTTGATAGAATTGGTGGAAATGCACAGCACCACCAAACGGACCACGCGTGGTGGTCGCCTCGAAGAAGCCCGTCTGAAAGTTTGGTTTCGCGTGCTGTGCGCTAGCCGGTGTCGATGTTGTGGGCGTAGGTGTCGCAGCCGGCATAAATTGTGGACGTGGTGGCGCCATGGTCTCAGACATGGGCATATACGGTGGCATTTGCGAGGGTGGCATGATGTCATCATCGGTGTCAGTACCAAGCGGCTCGTCTTCTTCTTCGCCGTACTCATCGTAGTAGTCGGGCGCGATCGTGCTGCTAGTGGTCGTACTGAATGGTCTGCCTTGGTGTATGTTATGCGCATTGAATTTATGTGACTGATTGGGTATGCTCTTCAGGAAATCTTCGTAACCTTTCACTGGACGCTTCGTGGGTGTCACAGTTGGCCGTTGCCTATTTTCCTCGGTTGTAGCTTCGATTTGCTCGTCGTACTGTTCAACATGCTTATTAGGTTGACTAGTTTTGGTGCTGGTAGCGACTGGTTTACGACCTGGCTGTGGTGCATTCAGCTGCTTGAAATATTTGATCATATTGACCACTTGCGGACTCATATTGGCCAAGTCAGAGGACTGCAAACTTGCAACGAACTCGGGCACGTTGAACTGCAAAGTCAAAGCCGGCTTACGGGAGGACTGAGGCGTATTAGCTGTGGTTACCGTTGAGCTGGTGGGATGAGAAATCTTCAATTTCGGTGATATTGTAGACGTACGCACTTTGGTGAAGACCTGATAGGACTCCGGAAACTGTGCTGAATTGTTTGAGAAAGCGAGGCTCTGAGGATACTTCTCGAAGCTGTTGTATTTGGGAAACTTGGTAGTCGTCGTGGTCACGTGCGATGGCGTTAAATTTGGCGCTGAAATTATATTGATATTCGAAGTGGGTGGCGCTTGAGTCGTATACCTGGGCACCGGCGTCGAATGGTACGCGCCCTTAATTTTTTGGTTGGCCAACAAATTGTACTTGAAGTAGTTGCTCTCCGTTGTGGTGGGTATATAATTGTCAACTATGCTGTATTGCGAGACCAATTTGGAGGGATACTTCACAGTCGGCTTGTAATCGCCGCTCACCTCCTCCTGGCTACTGTGCTGGTTATTGTAGAAGCCACCCATAGTGCTGAATTGCGAAAAATGTGTGTTGGGGGTGACCTTGAGTGGCGTTTTTGTTGACTGATAGTGTGGCATTTGCGGCAGCGTGGCGGCGTCCGAGTCCCCATTCTCTAAATGGAAATATTGAAAATTCTGCTGCTGCATCTTTTTGCGCTGCTCCTGGTATTCGCGCAGTGACTGCAGTATGTACGGTATCAGTTCGGGATTGTTGAAGAGATTTGGACGCCGCGCTGTTGTCGATGGCCGTAGCGTAGTTGTTGTGTGATAGTAATTAGCCGCCATCGGTCGAAAGTCATCTTCTATTAGCGGCGCTGTTGCCGGTGGCGGCGGTGGATTCAATGCCGCGGTGTAGGTGAATTTATGCTTTTGAACGCCACCACCGCCAAAGGTTTGTGGTCGCTGCAGTTGCTGCTGCTGTGGATATACCTGATATCCAGGACTCAATTGGTTGTAGTTAGCTGAGGTGGAGGGCGGCGACAAATAGGGGTTGTACGCACCAAAGCTGATGCTCGATTGCTGTTGTTGATATGGGCTACCACCCGCATCAATGGAACGATAATGTGTGCCGGGCACATTTTGTATCTGATAGCGTGCGCGTCCACTGAAGTATTGACGCAGCTGACGTGTGCCACGCATACGCGCTTCAACGGCTGTGCTATCATTAGCAGCATCGGTGTCGTAGTCCATGTCGAGGAGTGCGGCAATATTGTTAAGCGTCTCCATAATGGGATCCCCGGCTGTGTTGTGCATTTCACGGCCTGTTTCTGTGTTGAGTTCATCAATGCGCTTGCTGCTTGCGGTGGTCTCAGATGCGGTCGCGCTGTCTGCTTGCTCTAATTGCTCTTGCGCGCCATCTGTTGACTTCTCTGGCTGACCACCGGCTCCCTTTAGTTCTTCCAATATTTGATCTACAATTTCCATTATCGATTCTTGCATATTTTCGTCAGTTTCCACGAATGCCTGCGCCGGCTCCACTTGTGTGTTTTGCACTGTCGTGTTTCCATTGTACAAAAGTACGCCCTTTTGTTCGGTGCCCTCTTTGGCCATCGCATAACCAAGTTCTTTAGTGCTCGGAAATGGTCTCACGTCGCCCGTCGTTGTAGTTTGTATTTCGTCAGTGTTTAAGTATGTCGCGATCTTTGGTTTGTCTAACGTCCTTTGGTGTTCTTCAGTCTTCAAAATCTCACCAGTATTGTAGTGCAGCGCCCGCTTTTCGCCTAATGTCTTTGGATTCTTATCAGTCTTTAAAATTTCACCGATGTTGTAAACGATTTTGGTGTCTTCATTATTTGGGAAATTTAAGTCCCGTTTCACGCGTTTGTGCGTAGTAGTTTCATCGCTGCCCAGTTCAACGTCAGCCAAGTCGTTTTCTTCAAGTAGGGTTTCGATATAAAGATCATTGTTGTTTAAGTTGAGGTCAATGTGGTTCCGGCTATATTTGTAACAAGTTAGCGGTATCGATTTGTAGTCGTATTCCAATTAATTTTTATTTAAGTCATTCGTTTGATAACAGTAAACGTATTTTATTTCGTCGTGTTCAGAGTTCAGATTTGAGAGTTGAGAGTTCGTAGTGCAATAGTGAATGCAGTAATGAGTTGAGAGAATTTCATTTGCGATTATGTAAATTTGTTTTTGATTGAGTAGTTTTCGATTAATTTGAAAATAGCAATTAAAAGAAGAATAAGCATTAAATTCATATAAAAAGCGCTTTAAATTGAATGATAGATGAATACTGTACAGTACAGTTTCGGTACAGTTTAGTTCAGCTAAGAAGCAGAAGCGGCTATTCGGATGAAGTTAAATACGGTTACTTACCTAAATTGAGAGCCGAAGGCGTAGGAACCGATTTTGCCATGATTTGGTATGGCATTGATGCTCGCCTGGTGTATGATGCCATCACGATCGCGTTGCACCTGACTCACTGTACTTGGTTGGCCGCGATAGACGCGCTGTTGACGATCGCTTTCCTCCTCTTCGACTGGGGGCAGCGTCTCATGTGCGTCAGCATAAAGCTAAAGGGGAGTAAGGAAAATACGTATGTAGCAATATGTATTAATGCAAGGCTTTTTAATCTTCGAGTTAATAAGTTAGACACATGTATAGATAAATTTGAAGGTGTAGCGGAAAAATTAACACAGCGACCATAAAAGAGGTTTCATATTACGGGAATTAGTCCCTAATCCTTATTACGTTAGATATTTAGTTTTGGACTTTTCGAGGAACATTGGACAAATTTCTACCAACAGGGGGCGTAAAGTACATAGATGTCTCCATATCGACGGCAGAGTGGACGATCGCCCTATCTCGGCTGCCTGTTAGAAAACGCCCTATCTCAGCAAAATATTGAAAAAGGCCCTATACCAGAATTTGGTTGAAGAAATCCCTATCTCAGAATTTGGTTTAAAATGCCTCATATCAGCTACCGCTTCGAAAATGCCCTACCACACTATAAATTCAATACCACAGCATCTAAGATAGGGCGGTTTGGAACCATTTGCTAAGTTAGGGCGTTCTTCAAAGAAATGCTGAGATATGCCGATCTTCAACTCAACCGTCTATATGGTGTAGTCCATTACGCCGAGATTTTGTCTCGGTACAATGACGTTGTCACTGCTTCCTAGAGCTCCGGTATGCCGACCGACTAGCTAACCAGAATAAGCTTGCAAGGGTTAATAAACAGGACCTCAAAATCAATAAACAAGAAAAAAAAAGAATATTCCGGGTTTCATAAAGACGGACTTCGATTCACCTCTTGATGGTCATGAAAGAATGCATTATTTGGACGGGCCTTCCAGTTCGTGACGCTAATCAAAGAATCTGGCCTGAAGACTGTTTAAAACTGTACAAAAAAGTAGTTGTTACCCGTTTGTTGAATGAAGAGAAGGCCAGTCTGGAATCGATAAGAGGCGGTGAAGGGTGCGTGATAACAGTTTAAATTTCGTTTAATAGTATCGCAAGAAAGATATAACTAGTGTTGTTCCGATACACGTAACTACGAGTAAATACTCGATACTTTCTTCAAGTTCTTAGTAGGGTATCGAGTACGCGGTTAAAATATTTACTTGCTTTTCCTCCTATTTATAAGTTTGTTTGTGACCTTAACCCGGCGCAACATGTCAGAACTATCTCTGAACCAGTGCAAAACGGCTGCAGAGCGGGACAGTTAAAACTGGTGGTGTGCTAGTTGAGCTGTCCTCAAAGATCCTCATATCTAGGGCCGTTTTATCAACTGCCTGCTAAAAGTTGACGGCCGGTCTGATTTTTCGACTTTTTTTGAATTACCTGTCGCTGACCAGTACAGCTTAAAAACTGTCGCACTTGTGGGGTTGCCTTGATTTCCTTAGAGATAAAGGCGGTTTGAGGGCACAAGTATAAGTAGTAATTTATTTCGATAAAGTCAAGATAAGGAGATTTTCGCAATCTTCTTGTTTTAAACCTCTTCAAATCTGCGGACGTTTCGGCCCGCTGATTGATGCCAATCTTCTCGAGCGGCCAAGCTATGAGTCATGTCGCGGAGGGTGGTCGGGGTCACTTTTATTCCTTAGGCGAGTAAGGTCGCATGTATCACCAAGGAACTTCAGGCCGTTCAGTCTTTCCTCGTTTGATGCTAGAGGGACTGATTGATCTGCACTTAAAAACGGTATTATTTGGGAGGGTCTATTCCTTAATCAGCATGCTTACTGCAAGGGATGGTACGTTGAAACAGCTCTACGTACGAACGTTGACAGTATTGATCCATGGTTGGTGCCTTCCTTGATTTAGAGAGGGCTTTTAATAACGTCTTGACTGAGGCTATTTTAAACTTCCTATATAGAATAAGAGCTCTTTGGCCGTTTCTTTGGGTTG